CCTTTTTTAGCCTAATGACACTGTTTCAAAGGTTCTTTTTAGTGTTTCTGTTGATTTCAAATGATTTTTTCGGTTTCTTTTAATTGATTTCAAGAAACTTTTTTAATTTATTTGGCTGATTTCAATACATCTTTTAATTTTTTTTTATTGATTTCTAGGGTTATGAGTCCCTTTCAAAAATTTACATGGGGGGATAGAATTAAGTTGTAAATATTTTAATTATAACCCTTGTAAAAAATTCTTTTTTTAATGAGGTCCCATCCTCCAATTACCAACTACATCCATCCTAGTATGCATGTGATACACATGTGTATATCAGATAAATTGCTTACAAATTATTTGTATCACATGTGCATACAGTCTACATGAACGATTATTTAAGGTGTTCCTTATTTTTTTTTTCATTTTTTCGGTTTTCCCCTGAACATAACCATATATATATATATATATATATATATATATATATAGAGGAGTGATCAAATGAAAACCGCCCTCATTTGTGTAAACCGTGCAACCCACCTTCATCCGTCGATTTCATTGTTTAATCTTATGAAATTTTTTCACGAAATTGTTTAATCTTGTGAAATTGTTTCATATAATACTTTTTTAATGAATTTGTTTCATATATGGTTGTGAAATTATTTCATATAATACTTAATGAAACTGTTTCATGTATTTCTCTAAAATTAATGAAATTGTTTCATGTATTTCTCTAAAATTAAAATAATAAAGATGATAATATCTATGATTAACACCCTCCACAATAAAAATGATTAATCAATCTTTCATAATTACAAAAAAATGAACAAAATGAAAAATTATGATTGGTTGAATGAAGTTTGCACGGTTTGTACAAATTGAGTGGTTTGCATTTGATCGCTCCCCTATATATATATATATACACACACACACATACACACATACATGAAGGGAGGTCTAAAGAAAAACCTTAAATAAATGAAAAACAAGAAAACACCTATCAACCGTTAGATGAGATGAGATGAGATGAGATGAGATGATGAATGTGATTAAATGAAAGGTTACAACAATATTTTCTAAAATAAAAAAACATCAACCCCCTATTTTTTATTCGAAAATGAATGGAAAAAAAATTGAGCGAAATAAATTACGCTAAAATAATAATATTATATTTTTCTCGTTAAAATGACAACCATATTGATATATTTTTTATTTATTTTTTCATGGTTTTCCGGTTTTTACTTTATTTAGTGTTTTCCCCTGAACCTATTCTTGTATATATATTTGTTTCACATGTATTTGTTTTACAATATAAACCTTATAACCTCTTTGTGAATTAAAAGTTACATATAATTTTTTTTTATATTATGAACCAAATACATATAAAACAAATATTTTATAAAACAAATATAAGTTTATCAATATCACAAAATGCTGCTGTAGATAAGAAAAATTATAAAAACAATAAAATAAAAATTCTTATAATTATCATAATACATGAATATCTAATATCTATATTTGACAACCTGTATGGTACCTGAATATAATCATTTGTGACGTCAATTTAAAAAAAAATTATTAAATGCAAAAGGATCCAAATAAATTAATTAATGCTGCATTCAGTCCATTCTGAGTACGGTGACATTGAGACATCATGTAAAAACTTTAACACCTGTGCCAATAGATAAAAACAATAATGTATTATCAATAATTAGAAGAGTACTTGTGTAATGTATGGAGACATATCTCGACTTTAATGTTCTATTTTATTATTTGTCTCTGTCGATGCTATAATACAATTTTATATGTTTTTAAGAAAACATTAATGATTTTATTTTTGAATAAAATATAAATTTGAAGATATCATAAAATTTTGTAAAAAATATATGATGTTAATATTAAAA